GTTCTTTTTAGTGCACGCGGAAATCAGTTATTTTCCAGGCAAGAAACTCGCGAGAAACAACTGGCTGAAAATAAGACAACTGAATATTTGAGAAAGAGGAACAGGATTAACATGGGATGGATAGTTGGGATGGAAAGAAAAACTTCTTCTGACTGGTTTAAAAAATATGTTATCAAGATATATCCTACATTTGCAAAGTATTTTATCATATTCAGAAAACAAAAAGACGCGGACTATGACAAGCTCTTTCGAATTGACGAACGCTCACAAATAAATACACATATGCTCCTATAATTACACCTATATGCACCAACAGGAAAAATTGGACAAATATCCATAAACATATTAATCTATATCGCATCATATTCCAACTAAATGTCAAGAAATTTCACTTAGCTATGCACTGAAGCAACGGATAAAAATATGCAAAATCCTAGAAATCCGCTCCCTAGACATTAGCATTTGTTTTTTATGGCTTGAAGAGATGGGACACCCAGTCTCTCATGCATCACAGTTGAACTTGAGTTTTTTCCTAATCTCGTGCCCTTACCGTTATGAATGGCGAGGAAGATCTTGTGCGAACTGAGGAAAATGCTACCTAATCTCTTAAAAGATACAAGCATCATGGGCCGACGGTCTACCACGGGCAACATTTGATAGTTCAGGAGCGAGATTGACCCGAGGGCTATATCAGCGTGAATTCACGAGTGTTGTGTAGTCATGGGTCTTCTCTTTGAGTAGATCGGCCCAGAAAACGATGAGATACCACGGAGAACACGGTAGGGACGTAAATTCCCGGAGAGAGTCAAGCAAAACTAAAGGACGAATAAACAAAATGCATAAACATACGTCTTGTCATAATTCAGAACTACGTTACATAAAACGTATATTTTACTCATATAAATACGAAGAATTTGTTTTTCTCTGGAACTACGAAGTCGTAATTTGAAGATTTAGAATGGCAATATCTAGCAAACTTATGACAAATGAAAAATCTATTATTTATACCTGAAATCTCGTTATTTCGATACCGTTCTTCAGTAGTGTATTGAAACTACGATATTATCAATCTAACAGTATCGATAGCGATAATGGAAAATGTAAACAAAAGTATCGATACCACCAGCATATCTACAGTATTGCTATCTCTATATATGATCTTCCGTTGCCAGTTAATTGTTTCATAAGATCGACATTCAGTAATTTTGACAATTCTATAATGAGACGAGAACCAGCCGAAAAGTCGTATTAGTGCCCTCGGCGTAAGTCTTTGTTTCGTGATTGATGATTAACACTATTCCTCGAATTGCAGGGCGTTCACTATGCATCATGCAGAGATTCATTGCTCAGACTGTTGTGCCGATCTCTGCGAACGTAAATCTGGGGTCCCGACTCAGTGTCAGTTTTCGACACTCCCTTGTGGACTAAAGTGAAACGAACAGAATAAAAATACTTCTCGTATTTCTTTGCTGACGTCGATTTCCTTCAATGGGAAATGTTTTATTAATTGTTTTCTTACTGAACTACGAGAAGAAAACGCCGAAATGTATTGTGTCCAATCCACCAAGTTACTTAAATTCCCGACAATGGAAGGACTATATTATTTTGTAGAATTAACAATATCGCACATCTCGGTGCGTGCTTGTCTTTCTGTTCCGTTTTATAAACTTCTGTACATAAAACAAAAATTACACAACCTCTGGTGACATCCAAAAGATTAATAAGCACCAGAGTGCCGTCGCTGTCATCTTATTTTCTGCGAGGGCGCTTCCCCTCCATAAATATTTCTGGAGCGGCAAAAGAGACAAGACGAGCGTGGCCTTGGGTCGGAGATTCCCGCCGTTGCTGGCTTGGACGTGCCGGGCGGCGCTCTCTCTGGGCCGCTTCCACGCCCACGACTCGCGGCACCTTGGCAGTGTACCTCCACATCCCCTCTCCCTGACCCCCGCCGCACGCCTATGCTTTGCAAATCGGGCGTGGGAAAGCTAGCTGCCGCTGTGACCTATTGCGCAGGCGCTAGATCACCGTTTTTTATTGCTTCTTCGCCTTGCGGCAGACTGGAGGCTTTTCAAATATTGCGAATACACCCACATGCTCTTACATAATATTCTAAAAAGAAGTAAATTCCGTAGTAGCAGCAAGGATAATGTGGTAATCCGTAATGATTAAAGGATCGAGGATGCATCTACCAAAAGTATATTACAATATAATTAAGTAACAAGAAATAACAGCCATGTACGTGTTTCGGGAATAATTTATCCCATTTTCAGTGGCTATTATCTTCTCTGTAGAGCCATTGAAGATGGAATGAATTATTCCTGTTAATTCTTAATATTAAATTCTATTGTAATATACTTTATGGGTATTAATCATTAATGGCCCATAATCATTCATGACATACATTTTCTTCGTTTCTCGGCACACTGGAGACTTGAAAACCATTGCGGTACACCCACGTGAGTTTACATAATATTCTGAAATGAGAGTATTTATTATGAAAACGTTCGAAATATATGAATTTCATTGATTGATTGATTAAGTGTGTGAATGACATATTTTCGAGAAGACGGTACAATGGTACGGAATCCAGTAAGTGCTGAGATGCAATGATGATTATAACAATGAGCTTGAAGATGGAGTAGGTGTTGCAGTGAGAGACAGGATATTGGAGATCCCAGAGGGCCAGTTTTGTCGACCCCAAATTCCACTTGGAAGAAGAAGAGAAATTCATTTTTGGTGGGCAAAATTGATGAAATTCAAACTTCTGATTTTCTCCTCCCCTCTTCTTAGAACCGCATTGGCCGGGATTACAACGCCTTCACAGTTTGTTCAAAAACACACGGGTCCCCTAACCCCCCTCCCCGAAGTCCTTTGTGACCTTTTGAGCAACGGATTAGTTCCGGGCACGCGAGCGACCGCGCTGTAGTAAGCCAATGGCACGCTCCACGCCGCCCCACGCGCCAGGTGGGGCTAAAAACGGAAGAGATGCTTTCAAATAAAAAGGGCTCCTGATTTAAATCGCCCCGCTCCTAAACTTCGCGCCCCCCCCTCCGCCGCGCCTCTGCCCTCCACGTGACTCCTCAATCGCCAGGAACGCTGCACCACCGCGACCGGTCTGAAATCCCCGCCAGCTCCAGTTCAAGCCCGAAATGTGTCCGCCAGTCCGTTAAGCCCGTCTGAAAAATCCTCTACCCACACAGGTCCTCAATGCCGACCCGATACTATTTTTTTGCACGCTTTTCTTTATTTATTTTTCGATCAATATCAAGCGAATGCCTGACTAATACCCTAACAAACGTGCGCATCTTTCTTCCCTCAACCTTATTCCCTCCTCTCCCCTTGCACTGACCGGGCAGTCCTAGGGTCCGAGTCCCGATGGTGGTAGGATTATCGACATTGGTTGCAGAGCTAGATCTTATTTCAGCTGCTGTCTGGAGGAGAATTCTAGTGGCCGCCTGCTCTGATCGGTAGTTTTCCGTGGTTCCTCCGATCAACTCCACAAAGCGAATGCTGGTGTTGCGCCAGAACAAAAGGACCTCGGACGGCCCGCGATCTTCCCTTCCTCTTTCTTATCCTACCCTCATCCCCATTACTCACACACACTTACACGTGCTACTCTACCACACAAGCCGGGGGCTTAGAGCTTGTTCCCGCTGGGGCGGTGCCTCGATGGTGGGAGATACCTGGTCGGGGAAAACCTTCGAAAGTTGACGAGATTGGCGCGGGATCTCGATATTCCGCGGGGGAAGATTACCGGCGCCTACCGCGATAAAATCATGCACTAAAAGTACGGTACTAATGATGTTAGCAGCTTAGTGCTTCCGACTGGGACGGTGTTCCTCTAGGGGAGATACCAGGAAGAGGGAAAACCGCAAGACATGTAAGTCTGCGCCCGATCTTGTATTCCAGCAAAAGTACATCGCTACCTTCTGGCTATAAAGGGCACTGCATTTACGAGATTAATGACGAATGTAGTTGATGTGCTGGGATATTCGAAACGCTAAATCACCTCACGCCCGAAACACCCAACGCCAAACTGGCGCCTAAAACACCCACCCGATATGCCACGCAGGCTCGAAAAATCAACCCGATGAGCTGGTCCTACACGGCGGGCACCCTGCCGAATCTCCTGCCTGAACAACCCTCCGGAAACTTAAAACATCCTTCCCGAAACGCTCACCCATAACTTCCGCCCACTGCCCTGACGCTCTCCCACGCGCGACACCCACTCGCTCGCAACACGCGCATGTCCCGATCATGCGGCCACAGGCTCACACCGCCAGCAGGCGGCGCTACCTGGATCCTACGCGCGGGAGGGGGGAGCGAGCGGCGAGGGGAGGCGGCACAAAAGGACGGCATGGCGTGGCGGCGCCGCACGCGCGTGCGTGTGCACGCTCGCCCGTGCCTACGCCGCGCCGCGCCGCCTCCGCGCCGCTCCGCGACGCTCCGCTCCGCTCCCACTCCACTCGTCGCCCAGCCGGCCCATCCTACCGCCCCGCGACCTTCTGCAACTGGCCCTCGGGGGCAAGCTCCGAGCCGACGACGCCCCCCCCCCTTCTCTCCCGCTCCGCCCAACCCCGCCGCTGTGGGGCGTCCCGCTGACGCAGCCGCTGCCCGCCGCCCGTTGCGACGGCCGTCCGCGTCGACCCTTCCCTCCTGCGCCTTTCACACGAGAAGAAAGAACGCTTCGGCTGCTGCGCTCCTCCCCTCCTCTCCACCTCCTGGCTTCTTGGACGGCGCGAGGCGGAGGCGGTGGCGGCGGCATGGCAGGCCAAAAACCATGGCGCGGCGGCCGCAGCGCTGTGTGTACACTCTCCGGCAGCGCGCCGGGGTTTGCGTCTTCGCCCGCCAGACGGCGTGCGTGTCGCGGGTCCGCTCCACGCGACAATAGGCCTTAACGCACGGGCGGCTACGGATCACAGTCGCGTGGCGGGGTGCGCGCATCGAGATCTGGAGATGTGCGAGGCGGCGGTGGGGCGCCGCCGCCGACTGGAATCGGAATGTGGTTCCAGGCGGCGGCGGCAGAGGCAAGCCGGCTGCGGAGGGTGGCGGTGGTGTAGAGGTGACGCGAAGTGTGCGGCCGGAGTGCGAGCGGCGTGTCGTGCCGTGCCGGGCGGTGTGAAGGTGCGTGTTGTGAGTGTGTGTGTGGTGCCGGATGATGCCGCGAAGAAGACGCAGGTGTGGTGGTGACATAGAGGTGTGCAGTGCGAGGAAGTGTTGTGATGTGCCGGTGGTGAGATCGTGACAGCGAGAAGACGTCGGTGATCGATGTGGTGGTGGGGTTGGAAGAAGACGTAGTGGTCGCGAGAACAACGGTGACTCGTGGAACGAAGAGGTAGGGCGTACTGTATTGTTTTTATTTGGAGGGATGGGGAATAGGAAAGCGAACGAATTGGAAGAGATACGTGCTTGACCCACGACTTTTCCGTTCTTACGAAAGCCTTTGTGTTTTTGTTTTGTTTTTCGAGGAGACTCAAGCGTGATTTATAAGAAATATACCGGTATCTTGTATACGAGAAGTGCATTAACCTGTTCGCTTCGCAAAGATCAAAACTATGTGGGTTTTTGTTATCTTGAACTTCAGTGATGGCAACAGGTTTCTGTAGCGAGAAACATCGTGGTTGTAGCTCAGTAATCGCATTTAAGTGGACCCCTCCGAAAGTAGAATTTAATGTCATGTGAACGCGAGGTAGCGACGCCCTGAATCTCCTTGCACTTATAAAACAACAGGTCTGAGAAGTTGCCGAGTGGTACAAAAAGTGACACGTTTTGACAGCCAATACCGACTTCCGATTGCCGTGCGCTTTATTGAATGAAAAGGTCAATGCACAAATCGTGGAATTGATATCGTCGCGGTGGATAACATTTCAGGCCAAGGTCTCGATTCGGTGACTATTCCGAGAAGAAAAAAAAAAAGACTGCCATTCGTAGTCTAATGTCATTAGACAACGCGTCGATCGTGCATTTTTTATCTAAATGACGTTTGATCCATTTCTCTTGAGGCCGGTATCTCCCGCTGATATAGAGGATTGACCAATGCTCGAATATACTTATGAAAGATTCGTCGTAATAATTTCTGGTCGATGAATAATGCAATTATTGTGAATATTTTTTGTCCACTTGAGGTGCATTAGACATGAAGTCCAAATGTTTTCTTAGAAACTATGAAGTTACTAAATACAATGAATAGTGAGAACATCATTTAAAATATTTTCTGGCTAACTCATTTTTTATCTCTTACTTAAGATGTTTTTTTAATACTCCCGTCATAATTTTTGCTTGTATTTTTTGTTCAGAATTGTTAATATGAATTAAGTGAACTATTTTGTCGTAGCATTTTTTTACGTACTGAAGTTTCTTTGAGTACATTCATTTGTTTGATTCTAGGAATAGTATTGACTTCTTACTTCTTAGAAACGTTGGGAGGACGTGTATTAATAGATGAAACACTACTGGGTATCCAAAATCTCCGAGTCCCAGGATGGTTGTCAAAGATTTTCCTCCTCAAAGAGTTTCGACTATACAAAATCTAATGACAATTTCCCCTGTATTTCATAGAATATTTCAAGAGTACTGTCCGAATCTGCACTGACGGGATAGTTTATACTCGCAGTGTGCCCGAATGTGGTAAACTTATTCTCCAGAACTGGATACAAGAAAATCAGACAGGCACAAAGCTTTTCGTGTGCTCGTCTTTATTTATGTGAAGTCTCGCATATTATAGAGCTCGCTTCCGATGGGTCTGATGTATTGCGTTGGTCGTTTTTGACTTCCTTTCGCGCCTCTGACGAGTCTTGAACGCAAGCTCTTGTTCTGCCACCGTCACACGAGACTTGTGCCCCCCCCCTCTCCCATTCATACACAGTCGCAGATTCTTCGTATCGAAAATCCATCCATTTCCAGCTGTCCGAGATGCATTCCCGTTCTTCTTGCCGATGAAATAAACAACGTGTTGGATAACTCGCGGTCTACATGTGTTTTTGATTGTGGCTGACAGTTCGGAATCATGAAAACATCGCTCAGTTTATATACCTTCGCCCGTCGGTTTGAAATACCGAACATGAAATGTAAACATATCAATTACAAAGGTTTTGAATATGTTGAGCGGATACCACGTTTTTGTGTGGATTTGCGGTGCATTAATACTCAACATGCTAATTTAATCGCGTCCTTTTTGTATCGCGAGATCAGACTTTCCCAATAACAAAGCCCTTACAATTAGCATAGTGTATACGCTAGGGCTCATGAATTTGATGGAAAATTGGCCGTGCAAGAGGTATTTCGATTCGACTGTAATTGGATGGATGCTGTGTTCAACGATATGAAGCTGTGAATCACGGCGTCATACAGTTTTTGGGGTGATTTGAACCATTTGTCTGAAGCGTGACCTGAAGTGATGCAATGGTCGATTGCTTTTTTTCTCTTCCGTCAAAAAATATCGATTGACTTGGTAGGTTTGTTCACATTGTTTAAACGTCATGAAATTGCAGTGCGACATTTTCGCACTCTTCATGGCGGCGTTTTAAGTATTCCGTCAAAATGTAACTTAATTTAAACAGTGATTTTCGTATGTGTTTGTAAAGGAATACTATCGTAAGAGAACTGTAAAAAGGTACTAATCAGTATTAAATTGATTGGTGGTCATATTTGATTATGTGCTAATTAATAAGTTTTTTTCCTTTTTATTTCACATTTACCTAACATAATTTTGACTTAACTCAATATACAGTTTTTATTTTTTCATAGGCCACTATGGATTACTACATTTATTAATTCTATTTTATTTCTAATTTTTTCTGTTTCCGAACTCCTTCAAGGCCGTACCGGTTTCTTAGAACCACATGTTGATAGTAGTATTTAGCTTTTGAGAATCAAATCTTCCTGTTAGTCCTTCGGAATTTTATCGGAAAAAATCTATAAAATGCAATCTTCCTTTTCCAGATCGTAGGCGCTCTGCAGTTTTCTCAATATTTCTGTTCGTATCCTTGTTATGACGTTAATGATTAATGAATGATTTTCGCCTTCATTTTTTCCAGTAACGGGTTTATAATTAATTTCTCGGGTAATTTTGGGTGCAATTTGTACAGTTCTTGCATTGTCTTGACTCTCTGATACCTTCGTTATGGCGAAAGCCGGATCTCAGAAGTGTCATATGCGAAATGATTCATATCTCATGGCCGTGGCTCTCCTTTTATGAGTGGTATGACGACAGCCGTGGTATAACGATTCCATCCTCCAACCAGCTGACCACGAAACCTCGGTGACGTGAGCAACGCGGAAATACATGTTCCACATGTGGCCGGTGATCAGTCTACAGGCGCGCACTAAAAGAATTAGAACACAGTGGAGCCTCGGATGACTCACGGACCTCACATGCAGCTGTCACCTTCGTAATGATTTCTATTGTGGTCTAACTGTTATAATGTACTTTAATGCATTGTGAACACTTCTAAGTCGAAGATGTGGGTTGTTACAATCGGAAAGGATTATCTAATCTCAGATGAAATGGCTGACATTAGTTTATAACTAAGTGCTTCACGGATAAACGAGGAAAACTGCAATTTAAGTGGAACGCTCACGATATCAGTATCTGTATTGGGTGGAAGGAGATACAGCAAAATTGTCATTTGGGGATGTTTCATACGTACGTACTTTACGTACATACTGTCTTACTTACTTTGATACTGTCTTAAACAAGATTCTTCTGCTGATATTTTTACCAGTGTTCCTTTCTACTTGATTTGGTATATTCGAATTGTACAAAATATAGTACATAGTATGTAAACCATTCAGTTCTTTTTTATTTATTTCGTATCCTGCAAAGAATATTTTCACATAACTCACACCTCTGTGTCAGTTGTCTCTACTATACTACAGCCGTCTCTTCATACATTCCCTTCGTACAAAAAGAAGTCATACTTGTTCCGAATAAGCGGGTAGAATAAGTCGGATAAGATCAACGCATTATTAAAGTATGTACTTAGGTCAGCCATTGGAGAAAAGCCCCCCCCCCCCACTTCCCCCGTAGGTTAGCATAAAATTTTGTAACGTTCACAAACGATCAGAATACGACTGTTTTCCTTTCTTTCGGAGCGGGTTGCATCCAGCGCCACCGGCAGGACCTTGCCGCTAGCGCCGTCTAGGGCGGAGTGGTGGTGGGGGTGTGGGGCGGAGCGATTGAAAACGCGGCAGCCGCCGATGACAGCGCCGATCGGCGGCGTGTGGGGTGGGGGCGGAGGAATGCCAGGCCGGGGCGGAGGTTAACTGCCCCAATTGAAGCTATTTCCAGCTCTTGCCGCCGCCGCGCGCCGCCCCGCCCGTGGCGAGGCCCTTGACGTTGGGATTTGCTCCTTGACTGGCTGCCGTGGCGCGCGCGCGCTCTTTGGCTAGCGACGGAAGCTTTGTGTGCATTTGGGAAGGCTCCAAAGAGGGCATGTGTGAAATCTCTGATTGGAAGTAAAAACGCGTGCTCCATTTGCACTTCACTGTGCTGGTTTGTAAAAACGCGTGCTCCATTTGCACTTCACCTCACTGGGATATTAAGGTACCAGTAGTACCTGGAATTAAGATAAGTCAATAAGTCGTTCTATTTGTTATTTCATTGATTTCATGATATTTTCGTTAAAAACTGGGCGACACACTCCGTACTTGTTTATTCATACCAAAAAATGTACGTGATCCGCACGAAAGTGTTTTGGGGTACTCGCTTCATAATGCTTTCCATAATATAACGCTTTTCATAATATAACGTTTCTGTAGACTTACTTTATAGGTTTTTCAGATTGTCAAACCTTTTACTGACAGTACTCCCACACCAAATGACCCTAATTGTAAGATAGGATTCGACTCATCCGGGCACAAATAAGCTTATTGGATGCACTGTTCCAATTGAGTTAAATGAGAAAGATTGTTAGCAATGTTTTCTTTCTAGTAGAAATCCCTATTCATTAATTGAAACTGGGAAAACTACACTTGGAGCCATTCATATACAATCTCGCCATGGGTGGTGCCCATTATAGGAGTAACGAGGTGAAATTGCAATTGCAGTCTGATGCATGTTCTTTTGGTTCACGTTTAAAAGTGAACTAATCCAGAAAGGTATGCCTAACGGAATTTGCCATGAAGTCCACTTGTTAGGTATTAGGGTATTTTTTAAATGTATTTTAGATTCAAATTGGTTGGATATTCACTCACTTCGGTGACCTTACGACAGTACTGAGGACTCTGTGCAATTCCGTAGCCTGATTAAAATGAGCATGTTATTGATACTGGTGTGTAATGCACGCTGTGGTATTTTCGTGGAAACCACAAATTACGATCAGTGCCCCGAAGCTGCCCAAGATAGTCATTAGACCTATTGAACTCTGCGATTGGTTGCCTCGCTGTTGTACACATATCAATTATGTTTTGACCGGATGATAGACACTGATGATTTACTTCTGTTGTCAGTAACGTTCAGAGAAGTTACGGATATGGTTCAAATCTGCTTTACAGTTCGTTAGTAACGAAGAGCGAAAGAAATAACTTTTTATGTGACCCTTACATTCTAAACACGTTTCAGTTTACCACCTGTTCAATACCTAACTGCTACTGAAATCCTGAAAACACCTGACGGGCCGGCTTAGGGGGGGTGACTTACGGCGTTGGGGCAGAAGTCATGACAACGACTTTTTTCTAATATTTGAATCGCACAATTGCAATTGTAGCATGAAAGAGATGCTGCAGTAGGGTGTGTGTTGACATCAACAAATGGTTTTGAGAATGTCTCTTTTAGTAAAGAGAGCAACGTGAAATCAGTTGTCTACCGCCTTGCGAGATGAATGAAACATGTTTCGAGCAGCGCTAATCCTTCAAGACTGGCGTCCTCCATGGGCGAAATGTCCGAGTTGGCTCAGGGTATCAACTGATGTCACTACAGTCTCTCTGACCGGGAGGTCCTTGGGTCGAGTTCAGTCGCTGTCTGCAGGAGAATTCTAGCGGGCGGCTGCTCTGATCATTAGTTTTCTGTGGTTGCTTCGATCACCAGGCGAATGCTGGAGCGGCACCCTACCAAACGGGCCACGGACAGCGCGCGAACTTTCCTACATATTCCTTGTCCTATCCTCTCCCCTTAGACACTCATTTACACTAACACGCACTACACAAGCTCACATTTCGGGAGCTTAGAGCTTGTCCCGTTGGTGGGAGACACTTGGTTGGGGAAAACCCCGCTAGTGGACGGTAGGTCGGCGCCGGATCTCGCCGTACAGCGAGGGAAAAATCACCGCCACATCAGAGTAAAAAAACATGCACTTTACTTACGGGTCTAATGACCCTGTTAGTTGACGTGCCCGGAATCATCAAAACAATCAATCAAAGAATCCGAGAATGCCACAGGGAATTAGTGGAAGCACTCGGGAACAATGCCCATACGGGTAGCCGCGTGTCGCATAGGAGAGCGTCTGAAAAGACGTAGCATCCAGCCATCAGCAACATACGTGACGAACTCTTAGAGTGTTCGGACCGATGTGGTACGTGTGGTAATACAGCAACTGCCTAATGAGGTCATTAGAACAGACATTTTGGAATATTGTTGACTCATATAAGCTAAAATGCTTTGAAACATGAAAACAGTGCTGTCAAATACCTTAATAAATACAAGAAATATACCATTTGGTATGTCGTTAAATGTCTATGTACATTTGCTGTAAACATTAGGAATTAACAAATGCAACAATCAAGAATTTTAAAATGCATTGCAGAAGTGTGATAACACTAGAAACTATTTATTTGTAAGTTTTATTGCAACAATGTTATATTTTATCTTTGTTAAAATCACACTGCCAAGCACGCACTATTTCTTTTACATTGCTTGCATTGCATTGTGAGTTTCCCGAAGAGCGGAAAATTGGTCATTGAACTTTTCCAGAAGAGAACTTTCTCTGGCTTATGGAAAGAAGAGCCGTTGTTGCATTCCTGAAATTCCTGTCAGGCTTTTGAGCGGATTAGGGAAAAACGACTCCCGGGTAAAAGCCTGTCACCTGGAAAAGGTCCGTTACGAAGGCTGCGCTGCCCCTGTGGAAAGCCATCACTTTTGCCGATCTTCAAAAATAGTTTCATGGTATAGAACATTCTTAGTCCGTTAGTCTGCTGTTCGTTTTGAAGATTGAGTTTTCATGTTTTAGGAGATTGAGTATTTTACGTTTACAAAGCCAGTGTTAAGTGAAATTGGATCGGTTATGGAAAGAAAAAAACATTAAAAAAATAATAATAATAAACGCCCTCCGCATTGCCTTGGTCGTTAGCAAGTTAATACATTTTTATTACGTGAATATTACAGAGCATTTTCATTTCACTTTGGTAATGCAATGTTGCATTTTCAATGTTGCATTCATCCAAATAGTATTTCAGGAGGAAGGAGAGATTTTGGCGTCTCCTAACTATTTTTTAAAATAAAAATAACTTTACTTACCTTCATTTTTAAAGTGTTTATAGTTAAAATACTCGGTTTGCATGTGATTCAATCAATATAATGTAATTGTTTTAGCTACATTCTTTGAAGATTCAAAAGAAAGGTTGAATTAGCCTCTGTGCCGCCTCCCCCCCCCTCTTTTGTAATTTCCTCCTCTGGCACGCCCTTCTGCACTTCGTGTATTAGTAGGGTAATGCCTGCAAACGATGATTTTTTTTTTCTTTTCCCTTATTGTATGTGTAACCATTATGCTGAAGACATATCATTGTTATTGCCATTACTATAATACAACGTGAAGTACTGTACTTTTTTTGGTCTCAAACACGTTCAGGGATAGACAATGTTTTGCCCATTTCTGGGTCGACTTCCAAATTTGACAAGTTTCGAGTGGTTTCTACTGCAAGAAAATCGGAGTTTAGAAATTAATAAAAAAATGTAAAAAATTAAAAGTTACCCGTTTTAGTCTAGGGATCTATTCAGAAATGTCAATCGCCCACGTATCGCCCAATTTACTAATCACTTTAGTCCAAGCATTTCGAGAAAACTACGAAAATAATCTCCGAATAGTGAGCGTTTTGCGCCTCTTGAAAGCCCCTCTGACCGAATCTGTGCCGTCGCGCCCGTCTTCTATTTCGTTGATGGGGGCTCCGGCGCGGGCGAAGTGTGCGCTCGTTCGAAAGGTCAAGGGGCTGAATGCGCTAATTGGGCTAAGTGCGCCACAAAAGGGGCGTTCCCTTCGGCGCCCGACGGCGCCCGCGGCCAGCGATCGCTGCCCCTCGTCCCGCCCGCGCAGCGGCGCCCGACCAACAGCCCCCCAGGGGGTATCTAACGTCGGTTTTTGTTCCGGTATTTTTTGTATCAATTGAGGTATATTGATATATAACATTTTACGAATTGATCGAATTACGTAGAAAAAAATAGCGTATTTACGGAGTATTAAAATGTTGAAGAGGTGGATACCGTTGATATTAAGGAATAATGAAACCTCAGTTGTCAATGAAATCTTAAACTAATAAGGTATCTTGGCATCACTGTGTGGCCTTTACTCCTATTTTCGGCTCTCAGTTGTGTTTTTAAGCTGTAATGTACAAAATGCGATCTATATAGTTTTTCAATTCTTTTGAAGGTGGAAGAGTGGCTCTTTAAACACGTTGACACAAAACCTCTTAAAGTAGCTGTTAGTTGATGGCATAGTACTCATTTCCAAGAATTCGTGCAAATATATTTAAGACGAAAAAATATTACAATTGTACTTACGTATATGCAATATTTATTTAGGATTGCTAAAATTCGAATTTGTTCCACTGCTGTATTGAGGCGTCCTGTTTCACATCGTCATTGCTACCACCAGGCTGTGGTCGTGACGTTGTGTAATTCAGCCTAGGTTTACGTTGTTTTCGACAGTTTCTGACAGGGGATTCTGATCTTGATTTGGTAAAATCTACGCTGGGCCTATGCCACGTAACGCTCATTTCAGGGCCGTTCGGACTTACCGAAGTTCAGTTTTAAAACAACGATTTACCAAGAGCGGAATGTTCGCCGAATCGAACTAAGAAAACCTAAGAAACCGTACGTATTTGGTATGATAACTTCGCGAATAGGCGAAAAGGTTGAGGGAAGGAAGTGACCTTGGCGATGCCGCGCATGCTGCATTTTCCAGGGCCACGATGCCCTGAATCCCAGCAAGACTTCCTGAGTGGAATGTTCTTTTGCCACCTGTCACGAGCCGACTCCCAAATAAAATTCCGACTAGGACACTGACTGCCCGTTATCACCGTCTTCTTCGGCGGAGTCTTCTGTTGGACCAGAGGTGCCTCGCACAGCGTTATCAGGGCGCTAGCGCCGCAGGTCTTTTTTCGTCCGCGAGATAACGGAGCGACGACACTCGAGCGCGTCGAAGGTTGGCAGATATTGCTCCCCTTTTAGACGCCACTGATAA